AAAATATGAGAATAAAAAACAACTGTGAGAGTCAAGTACCATGCCAGCTGCAACAGCCTCTCCATGAAGCCACTGTCCATAGCCAACTGAAGTTTCTATTGCCTAAAATAACAGCCACGTGAAGGAGTATTTAATCAGTTGGAGAACTTATCCTGATAAGATCACGCACAGAAAATTTGTGTGGACAAATATGATAACACAAATCTGAAGCAGCAAACAAACACATACTCACAAGACTATCATAACGTTAAATTTAAGAAATGTAGAACAGAAAATTTCAGAAATACCTTTTTTTTTTTTTGGCCCAGGGTAGAGTTAAAGAGGAAATGTTAATATTAGCAAGTTTCAATACAATGTCTCCCAAGAGGGAAAACATAGTATTTAAAAAACAACACGTGTCATTTTAGCATGAGAAAGGGCATCGTTCATGAATTAAACACCAGAGGCTACCCCCATAACAAAATAAACAGGTAAGATTCTTTCATTTCTATTCTTAAAAGTGCATATTAAATGTAAAGCAATATATGCTGAAGGGGAAAATGCTAATATAAGCTTGTACACCATCTTGAATTCTACTTCCCCACCACAGACCCCAGCCTCCATTCTTCTCTTAGTTTATAAAAATGATCCATGCCTCTGATATTGTCTTCAATCCTTCACATTTGATTATTTGTACAACTTCATACTTTGATTCACAAAAAATATATATATATATAATAAAGATGAAAATAATTCATGTCAGCTCAATGAATTAGCCTATAGATGATATTGACAGCACCAACTCAACTGTTTGGAAATCTGAAACAAAAACAATCACAAGTGAAATGAAAGCACTCACATGGCCAAATGTATGGCCCAAGTTCAATGTGGCCCTCAGTCCACTTTCCTTCTCATCCAAGGACACAACCTCAGCCTTGTTTTCACATGATCGCTTTATAGCATATGCCAGTGCACTTGGGTCCCTGCATCGGATATTAGATTTTATGAACAGGAAGACTGGAAGAGGGTATATGAGTTTATTGAAGTAACAAAAAGCAATACAGCTCAAGAAGGGATAATAGTGTAAAGATACAAGACCCATGTGACTCGGGCCAAAAGAGAGAGCTGACGAGATGCAGCCAAAAGAGTGTGAAGGTTAGTGTTTAGAGGTGTGAAGAGTTTAGTGAATGCTTCTTCTCTGATGTTGTTCTTCCTCTCCAATCCAACTATTGGAAATTTCCTTTTCTGTTACTCCTTCTGCTGTAAATTTTTATGACTGCACTAATTCATGGCTCTTGATTAATTCCATTAATACATTTAACGTGTGTAATTCTTCTATGCTAGGGCAATCATAGCAAAAAGTTCCTTCAAAGTCTACATATTTAAGCCTAATTTCCACAAGACTAGCTGTCATAACTCATAACCCAGGAGATGTTATTGCCTTGCGGTGCAAGCTTCATGGCATAAAAGGAACAAATACTGGAGACTGCAAGCTTATAACAATACTTAGATGATGAATTTACCTCGCCATCAATGCCTCCATATTTTTCTCCTGCCACTCAAAAAATTTTGCATCCCTGATGAGCCCGTACTTTATAACTTCAGCAAACCCTGATGCCAGTTCCCTATCTGGTAATGTATTTAATGTGTCTGTGTCTATAAGCACACACTGAGGTTGGTAGAAAGCACCAATCAGGTTCTTTCCAAGAGGATGGTTTATCCCAGTCTTGCCACCAACTGAAGAATCAACCTAGAAAATTATGCACAGACCAATGCAAAAGAAATAAGATGCTGAGATCAGAAAAATCAACATCAAATAAAAGAGGGCAAGCAGAAATCTGGGTGACATAAACACGAATATTTTAGATGTGATGCTAGACCTGAGCCATAACAGTTGTTGGAATCTGAATAAAGTTAACACCGCGCAGGAAAGCAGCAGCTGCAAAGCCACACATGTCACCAATTACACCACCTCCAAGAGCTACAAATGTGCATCGCCGGTCCAACCTTGACTCAATGGCCTTGTCAAACACTTTCATTAGAGTGTCCTAGCAGTTAAACAGGTAACCACTTTTCATGCTCGGGCCTAGGGAGAAGATTACACAATCCCCAATCTAAACATAATAGACCTACCATATCTTTGTACTGCTCACCATCTGGCAAAATGACATTCTCAACGGAAACATTTGGGTTTCCTCTTGTTAGAGCATCAACAACTTTGTCCAGATACAATGGTGCAATGGTATTATTAGTGACCACAAGGACCCTCTTTCCATGAACATGCCTATTGGATAAGCATTAACTTCTAAGAACATCTTAACATAACACCTCAGAAAATGGAAAATAATCGCTTTTAAAAATACATTAAAGATGCACACAAAATTCCTCATTTTGTCCGTACATCTTTCTATCATTTTGGTACACAATAAGCCCAACCGATCCTCCGTACGGATAAACTAGAATTCGGTCTACAAAACGGCAACGTTATACACATGGGTCGTGACTGAAATGAAATTTAAAGTTCGGTGTTCTTATTAGACATACCTCTGGAGAAGCTCAGGTTTATCAAGCAGCCCCGAACCGATATAAATCGGATAGCTCCGATTGCCCAGGTCGACCTCAACGATCGTGGGAACACCAGGCTCCGTCTTTGTAGCAAACTGATCCATAACTTGAGCCGAATTGGCGCATACCCTTAGGCTCCTATCTTGACCCATGCTCGACACAGAAACCCATTTCCTGTTCAATTCGACAGAATATCTCGGAGACAGGAATTTGGAACTTTGAAAGCAATGGAGGTGAGAGAAACTGGTATTGAGTTTTGAGGCTGTAGAGCTCGTTGTTCGCTTGGAAGAGAGAGAAAGAGCGAAATGATTGGCGGTGGATGCCATAGGCTTAGCTTAGAGTTGAGCACAGAAATGAAAGGAAACAAGGCGGAGTCTCCTGGAGGGTTGGTGAGGAAGGTAACATGTTGATCGTGGTTGGCCCTTTTTGTGGAGGATGGATGAAGAAGACCAATGGGTTAGGTGAGGAATTGAGGCAGGAGGATACTGGTATCGGAGTACTTGACAAGACGGGTCGGTAGATTCGGTTGCTAAATCCCTTCTCGTGCCCAAAATTTGACGGGAAAATTCCATTTTTAACACTTAAATCTAGATGTATTTGAAAAATTAAAAAATATTTATTTTAATGTACTTTAAATTTGGTATGTTGTATAAATTAAAATTTAAATGATAATTTACTTTGTTTTTAGAATTTGTCACCGTAAATTAAAATCTACTATCTAGCAATTCTTTTTGCAATGCATTATTTATATATACATGCATGCATACAAACATACATATATATATATTAAAAAATATAAGTCAAAAATTGCCACTTGAGCATCCCCAATCTAAACCATATGTTATTGGTCACTTTTAAGGCTTTGAGCACGTCCAAATAGGTAATATACATCTGATTTATCAATTATATATACAATATAATACACAGATATACAATTGGCTTATAAACTGCACGTTACATACTTTTGAGAAAAAATTTCATTTTTCATTCTCAATCTCATACAAGGCCATGTTTCACATATATATCTCACATATTACAAGCCATAACCACATACATTCAATCACTAGCTTGCATGGACATTCACACCATTTATACACATAAACACACAAAGGGGCTATGATTTTAAAATCACACACACACATAAAAATATACACTCACATGTTATGCACAAGTATTGATTTCCATGATAACTTATGTAACACTTGCCCCGAGTGTTATCCAAAAATCACACAAGTTAAATAAACTAAGTGTGGTTAAGGAGTTAATCCTAAAACCAACTTAGGAAACAAACCATTTAAATCACTAAGCAAATATACGATTGCAAAGTAAACATTTAAAACCTTAAAAAAAATTATAGGTTCTACCTATAGCGCACGGAAGCAAGTTAGACAAAAGAAGGGTAAAAATATGCTGTCATGACAGCATTAAATTGCTGTCATGACAGCCCTCCCGGTTCAACTTCTGGAGGCGCCGTTCCGCCTTCCGATCTCCGATCGAAGAAATTTTAAAGCTCACAAGTCACATTCAAAGGGTACTATAAGTGTACTGAATTTCAAAAAGATCCAACGGTCAGATTAAAAATTAGACATGTTACAAATTTAGTCAATTTTGCTGTCAAAAGCTGTCATGACAGCACTTCCGGACCAACTTTCGGAGTGCACCATTTCATCATCCGACCTCTGATCGGAGTGATTTCAAAGCCCACATGTCACTTTTTAAGAATACTATTAGTATACCAAATTTTAAAAAGATCCAACGGACGGATTGAATTTTGTACAGGTTACAATATAACTACTGTAGTTGTCATGACAGCAATTTAATGCTGTCATGACAGCACCTCCAGACCAAATTCCGGAGTGCGTCGTTTCTCCGTCCGATATCCGATCGATGTGATTCCAAATCCCACACGAAGCTTATAAAAGGTTTTACTTGTGACCTAAATTTTAGAGAAATCCAACGGTCGGATTAAGATTTGGACACCCGGATGCAAAAGTGCAGCTTTTTGGTAAAAACCATTTTCAAAATTGTCCAAATCTCATCCTAATGGTCACAAACCTGTGGGAACACTTTGGACACGTCAAATAAGATTAAAAACACCTGATAGAACATTCAAATGATGGAAAACCCCCGTACATCAAAATTTGACCACCTGGGTGCCATTTCCTAAAATGGACCATAACCCCCAAAATGCACAAATCATACAAGGGTGGTCACAAATCAATCTAAATACCATGTATTTATATAAATACATATGCTAAATATTTTCACTTGGCTCAGAGCTCCTTGTGGGGCCTACGCACCCACTCTCTCTATCCAAAGTGTATGTTTGCCCATAGCACACCATTTGCAATGCAACCACTTTGCATTTGCTTATAAAATCACATATATATCAAAATAAAAATCTGCTTGTAATAGAAACTTGGTCTACTAAGTAAATCCATCAAAACCACACACCATAACCAAGTTTCCTAGCCACAAGTCTGCAAACAGACAAAAATTCATACACAAGCACACAATCCACACATATTCACACACACATACATAATCATATCCTACTGGCACCCTAATCTTAAATACATTACAATATATTTGCTCAAAAGAAAGGGGTTGCAGTTCTTTACAAATCACAAGCAAACCCCTAGCTTTGCTCCTTTCCCCGTCCACCACTGGATCCTTCACCTGGACCTGAAATATTGAAAAGAAAGGGGTGAGACAACCACAGTCTCAGTAACAGAGAAATCTACATTGATTATTACAAAGTAAGCCATAATCAAATAAATGAATAATAAATTCAACATAGTATATAATTTAGCCATTTAAAATGTATGAATGCATGACCTAGGCCGGTATGGCCTTTTATGACCAACAGAATGCCCCCTGGCACTCTTTAACTCATAGGTAAACCTTATACCTACTTATACCTCCACAGGCACAAAACATAATCTAAGGCATGATCTAATCCACCGAATCGCCTATGCCCCTTCGACGTAAATCTTGAGCAGTCAAAGCTAACTCCCTCCCAGAGCCAGCCCGACTTACTCTCCATGTGAGGGCTACCTTGGCCCAGGCACTCAACCTCACACTTCATATGTCGGATTCTCTCCCCCACTGAGAGGTGTCGAACACTCAATACACTAACCACTTTAGTGCACTGAGCCCACAATACGTAAGACAACACTGAGTACTGACAGTGTGCCATAGAATATCAAAAATCCACACCTTCTCATTGGTGAACTCCCACCGAGATCATGCATTTTACTCTTGTCTACTTTTCCTGAGTATTGACCATTCAACACTCTAAAGTAGTATAATATTTATAAATCTCATTTCCATAAAAACATTGTTATTAAACAATTAGAAAACATATTTGCACTATAATCAAAGTAGTATTCCATAACCCCTTATAAAGCACATTTAATCTTTTAAAACATGTAATGCATGATAACTAGTAATATTTATTCAAAAATAGCTAAAACAAAGTAATAAGAAATATAAATTCCCCTGTTACCTCAACCCTTTAGTACCAAAAGGGTTCTCCTTGTACAAAATAGGGCTTGGCTTATTCCTTACTTCTCAATAAGTTCCACCAACAATTTTCTACAACATATAAGTGATCCACATCACTTATCATGACAAATAGCATTAATGAAGACTATAACTCATACCACACAACTTAGGTCTATGAGTCATAATCCACCCTAATGGTCCATATATTAAACCAACCATTCACATAGTATCACTTAACCACCAAAACCATTTATTAGCCATCACTAGGCTAATTTTCAATTTATATAATTTTTATCAATTAAAAACCTTCACTTAGTGTCACCAACTTTTACTATTAGCCCTTATAATGAAAACCAAACCTTAATTTAAATCTTATTGGGCTCAAATAGCAAAATTATAATTAAATCAATAAGCTTAAACCATTGAAGAGCAAAAACCCAATTTCTCAAGGTTTATTTTGTGCCCAAAACACTTCTTTTCATCCAATTATCCACTCAAAACATTAGATCACTATATAGAAACTCAAAACATACTCCCTAGGATCCAAAGAAACAAAAGCTTACAAGAATAAAGCCTTTGGGATCAAAATTCAAAAATCTCCTCTTCCAAAAATTGAAGAAAATCAAGAGAAAGAGAAGAGGATTGAAGTAGGGAGTTTACCTATCGTGTAGCCGAGCTCGCAACGGTCGCAAAGACTCCTAAATCCGAGCCTAACTCCCTCTCTTTCTCCTTTCTTCTTCCTCTCTCTCTCTCTCACGTGTTTCCTTTCTTTCCTTGTTTTCTTTTCTGCGTTTCTGGTCTGGTTTTCCTCTTATAAAAGCTGATCTAAAAGTTTGGGGAAAATTACAAGAAATGGCCCAACATTTTTTATTATTGCACAAAAGCCTGGGTCAACTTTGGTAATTTTTCCCATAGTTAAAAATCAAATAAAACAAAACTTTTGTTTAGTAAAATTCAAACTCTGGGCCTCTATTAAATTATTCTAAATTTTAATTTAATTATAGATATTTTATTTTTATTTTTATTTATTTTTTTTAAATAAATTTGAGTCTTAAAATTTTTAGAATGTTACAACTTATACACACAACTATTACTTGTATATAAATTCATTACATTGATTCTTACAAGGCTTAATTGAGAAATCTCTATTCTCGATCTGGTTCCTTTCCTTTCGCATCACTATCACCAAAACTTGAAAAAAATATAAATAGCCACGAGTGAAATCAAAATATCAGCAACCAATATAATTTATTTAATATCTATTACCACAGATAACCATGCCAAAGTAACAAAACTAGAGTAATAAGAATTATATATCATAGTATGTAGGAATTTCATCTTTTCAAAACATTTCCATATAAATAATACACTAACATGATCATCTAACCACCGAATCTCCAATGCTTCTCGATATAAAACTATATGCTCTACTGAATCAATCTCTCATTGACCCGAGCACACTTTCGTTGGTAAAAATACCAGACCAAAAGTAATTTATTCTACTTACAGACTATGATTTCCCTTATCACATACTTATGATAAAGGTATCGTTGACTCCTAACTACACCCTAACGTGCACTAAGGAGTTGCTAGACTATCCCGATATCCCATGGTAACAATTCCAATATAATGTTGTACTGGACTACCTATGGTTTTAGGCCATATAATGCTGCACTAAATATCTTATGGTGCTAGCCTGACTATATAGATTTTTTCACTCACATCTCCACATACACACATCCTCACATATCCTAAGTGAATTCCTACCCCCCTATGATCATGTTTTTTACACAATTATCTCAATTCCACACTTTCATAACATACATACTTTCATACATACATACATATATACATACATACATATGTATATATATATATCAACTAAAGTCAGAAATTGACAAACTTTCCTTTTACAAATCTAATTTTTATGCTAAAATCATTCATAATGCTAAATCATGCACAAAAACTAACAAAATCACAATTTCACAATTATACTATCACTTCTACACAGTTATAATAGTTAATAAAAGTAATAAGTTATATCATTACCTCAACCCTTCTGCTTAATAGAAAGGGTTACCTGTGTTACATTTCTTTTCTTAAATCTCTTTCTGCTATGTATGCATTACATGCTAAAATCTATACAAAAGTGGTAACCAAAGTCAATTTCATTATTGATAAAGGTGCCAACTATAACAATTTAACACCTAATTGCTGCCACTACCTCTATTCATACTTGTTCACATGTGTTATGGCTAATTATCATTCAATACCAACACTAACCTTTATCTAGCCCAATTTCTCACATTACTCTCTTTTTAGATTAAGTTAAATCGAGCCTAAAGTTTCAAAACTTTATCGTCTTGACTTAAACTAGTCACAAGGTACTAGTTTAGTCTCAGAGAACCTTTCTATTATTATAAGGTAAAAAATCATGTCTTTAAAACTTTTGAATTCAATTTCTCACTAGTTAAAACTAAGAAAAAATATGATAGAATTGAAGATTAAGGCACTATAAAACTTACTCGATAAGTAATAGGTTGGAAATGTTCCTCTTTCTCCTGAAATTGAGTGCCTTAGTAGAGCTCTTTCTCTTCTCCATGCCAAGACCTTCTTTTCCTCTTTTCTCTTTTTTTCCATGAGTTGATACACGAACTTATTTATCAGAGTTTTGCACCATACACTGCGACACACCCATCTTTTACTATGGCATGTGGCACAGTGAGGGTAATCCTTACTATGCTCACACGCTCTACTTCAAAACTTCTTTCTTTCGCTCATATTTGCTCATATAACATCCCAATGAATTAATATAACATTCTACTATCTAGAATACTAATTTCACATTAAATCACTAATTCATTTCGTAATCAGTAATTAATACAGGATTACAAATTTGAGATGTTACATCTTCTCCTACTTCAATTCATTTCTTTCTTTCTCATTAAGGACAATGATGTCTTTTTGCATACGAAAAAAATTGCAAGAAGGGCTCTTTGAGCTTGCAAAAAGTTTTTAGATTGTATTGGACCCTAAAAGCAAATTTTTTGCTTTGAGATTCTCCTTTTATTTGATGGTATTATTTTTTGTTGAGAGTTATCATGAATTATAATGTTTTAGATGACAATTATTTTAACCTCTTTTAAAATTTAAAATTTGTTCTTAACTTAATATTATGTAAAAATAATTAATAGATGATCATATGTAATAAAAAAATTACTAGTGATTCTAATACTAGTTTTATAAAAGATATATTTTAAATGATAATAATTATATTTTTTCAAAAAAATTATATATTTTTCAAAGTAATATTTATAAAAAGCTTTTTCAAGTTGATCGGGCCAAACTTAGCCCAAACACAGTGATGCCCGGCCCAATCCTACCTAAGTGCAGCCCTAGTTATAAGGGTTACTTTAAGGAAATTTTTATGGAGTTGCAAGTGGAGTCCTTTGCTGACAACTTGAGCACGTTTAGATTTCAGTTGGGTATAATTGACTATAAAAATAATTAATTAATATGATTAATTTTGATTATAATTGATTATATTATAATTCAATTTATTTGGATATTATTTTTTTGAAATTAATTTGAACATGATTGAAGATATTGGGTGATCTAATTAGAATTAATTTTAGCTGTGCAAATTATCATAAAGGACATTGTTTTTCAAAATTAAATTATTGATAAAGTTGTATATAATATTATTAAATTTTTAAATTTTATTTAAAAAGTAAAATATATTATTTAACTTATATATCTAATTAATTATAGAAAATGATGGGGAAAAATGTTCACAACATTTAACAGGACATCTCTATCACTTTACTTCTTGACCCAATATTTCTCCCGTTCATTTGTACTACCCATTTTGTGATCTTGCTTCTTTTATAAACTAAATAAATAATTGATTGAGAGAAGTAGGGGTATTCACAGGACGAGATGCAACCGGGACACCCCATCCCGTGTCCTGTCCAGAAAAAAGATCTAGATTGAATTTTAATTTCATGTCTCGTCCTGTCTTGAAAGTCATTCTGTCTTATTAAGAGTTGGGACGGGATTGGGACAAGATTGGGACGTCTTGCAGTCCTAATAAATGGAATAATATTGAAGAAAGGTCTTAATAATAACATTTATTAAAATTTTAAATTATATAATTTATTAAGTTTAATCAAAAAAATACAAATATATAAATCACAACAATTTAAAGTCAATTATTGAATTATATTAATTATAACTACACATTATAATAGAAAATACAAGTAATTTTTACGCTATAAGAGTAGCAACAACAGGTAAATCAAGCACAATATTAAATCATTGTTCTTTTACTTTAATGGAGATATACTAAGCTAATTATTTTTTGAAAATAGAGCAAGAAATACGTTATAAATAAAAGTTATTAAATAAATAGATATAATAATAAATTATATTAATATAATTAATATATTATAAAGAAAGATATCGCCATGTTTACTCCATACCATTAAAATTATCAATACAAAAAAAACTTTAGTTTTAAATAAGAATTATAAGCATTGAAATTATAATTAATATAATTAATATAAGTGTAAATTATATTAATATAATTAATATATTTAAAATAAAAAATAATATATATAATATTTGGGATGAGACGGGATGTCTTGATGGTAATCTCGTGTCCCGTCCCGTCTTGAACCTTTTTCTTGTCTCGTCTCATAAAGTCTTATCTAAATTATTTTCGAGTCAAAGCAAGACCTGTTCTGATATGATTGAGATGATACTGAGTCAATTAGGAAGGGTTCAAGTTGAATGCCTCTAGAGAGAAGCTACCAGCCCGTAGCTTATAACAAAATGTGGCTCAAACTTTAATAATTAATTAGCAACAATTTGCGGTGTTTTGGCATTTTTCACTGAAACCATGGTTTTCCTCCAAAAAAATTGATTAATTTTGCAATCCAAATAGGAAGTAAATATTATAAGTGGTAGAATGACCTTGTTTCCACAACCCACAAATAATAAGTCCAAGTGGCTTTGAATTGTTTCTCCTATCTCAAGCTAATTTTTGTTGCTCATGGGTGGGTCTGAATGAGTTTGTAATTACTCATAGTTAAACTTTCTCAAGCTCCTGCCTACTGGCAGACACATGTCCGAACTTGCTCATGGATAAAATATTAACTATTAGGTTAAAGTATACATTTAGTTCTTTAATTTTATACAACATTTTATTTTAATCTCTTAAATTTATAAAGTATTTTTTGAGTCATTTAACTTTAATATTATTAGTTTTATCCCAAAATTTTTTTACATTAAACTTAAATATTGACAAAACATTTTTAAATATTGATATATTAAATTTAATTTTTTTAAAATAATAACAATTGGTATAAAAATAATTATTTAAAATTAATAATATTAGAATAAAAATACTTAAAAGATACTTTATAAAATTAAAAGATTAAATTAAAATTTTATAAAAAACTAGATGATAAAAAATATACTTTAGCCTAACTACTAAATTCTCAATTCCTTCCATTAGCTTATAAAGTACGTACTTTCTAGATTAACTCGTGCCATCATTTCTCTGCATTGAAAATAATAAAATTATGTTATCCAAAATGATAATAACATATACTAATCTGGGGCCTCTCCTTCTTGAAGGGGGAAAAAAATCCAAGGCCTTCATCTCAAATAATTTTTTTAATGTATACTTGGTTGACATATGAAATAAAAAATTATTATCGAAACCTAATTATAAATAACCATATACATAATGGTATTTTTTTATTTTGTACAATTTTTTTAAATATTTTTTCCCAATTTTTCTATATATTTTATTGATTTTTACTGAAACTCTGAGCAATGAGCACTGATGCCATGTGCATTATGGCTAAGCTCAGCCATACTCGTATTCAGAGAAGCGTAATCATCTCCAAATCACCTGATGTCTTGATCGGCCGCTTCTGTTGAAACTTGAAAGTTGAAAGAGAAGGCTTTTCTTGACCCCAAAAATAAGAAAAAAACACGAATGAGGAGCCTTTGCACGTAAGAATAAGCAGTCGAAAGAGAAGACAACATAACAAAAGATGAACAGTGGGCGGAACAGGGGAAGCTTTGAACGGAAGCTTCTGCGATGTCCCCAGAGATTCTAAATTCCTCCCTCTCTGTCTCTCCAAAAGCAATCACCAGGTAGGTCTAATTTTGACCTTTTCCTGAAAACCCTTATCCTATTAGCCTTTCAAATTCTGTTTTCCTGTCGAATGCTTTAGCCCGAATGGCTTCGTCGGAGATCGAGGTGGTGTCATCGGACTCTAAAACCCCGAAAATTTCCGATGCACCTCTCGTTGTAGACGTGTTCTCTGCCGTATCTTATGGGGACTTTGAGAAATTGAGGTCGTTTGTGGAACAAGAAGGTGCCTCCGTTTCTGTGCCTGATTCCAATGGCTATTATGCTCTCCAGTGGGCATCCCTTTACAACTTTCCAGATATTGCGCAGTACATCATTAAGGTGCTCCCATGTTTTCTAATCGTTTTTTAAGTAAGTGATAATCCGTATGTGAGCTCAACGTTGATGACAAAATATTGGGCTTGCTTTGAAATTTTGAACTATTCACTTTCTTATGCATAAATAAGGGAATTGGTTTTTTATTTTTCTCATTTTCTATTCATCATGGTAAATAGAAGCAACTGTTGTAACTGTAATGGTGTCTGCGTACTAAATTGTTTTTCTGACAAGGTATAGATAGGTTATGTCGCGTGTTAACTTACGTTTCCCCCCCTCTCAACTCTATATGTCTGTCACTCTGATTCTTGAAGCACGGGGGCGATGTCAACGCTACTGACAACATGCAACAGACGGCACTGCACTGGGCGGCAGTTCGTGGTGCAACTACAGTGGCAGATTTGCTCTTGGAGAACGGTGCTCGGCTTGAGGCTGCAGATTTACATGGATACAGGGTATTATTTTATCTGTTGCACACATTCTTAGAGCGGAGGGATTTGAAGAGACGTATCTGCTAATTGCTTAGATGATATTTCCATTTAAGTTTTGATCTTTGGAGAAGTCGGTTGTTTTATGTAACTTGTTCCAGTTATTTTTATTTTGATTGCTTAGTCTTGGAATTGAATATAAAAGATTGCTTATAAGCACGTCAATAAGATGGAACCTGCTCGATCAGTATATGTTAGCTATATTGTTTATTGTATGGTGCAGGCAGTTCACGTTGCTGCTCAATATGGACAAACGGCTTTCTTAAATCACATAATTGCAAAGTACAATGCTGACTTTGATGCACCCGATTATGAGGGATGGAGTCCTCTTCATTGGTATTCTATCAAGCTCGGATTGTTATGCCTGGTGATAGACATTAGTGCCTTGTTGATATATATACATGGCTCCCAATGTTGTTTCTACCACATCTAATCTTGTTTAAGAGAAACGTGACCTGGTGGAAAATTCTATTTCTCTTTATGTGAGTTACGTGCATGTTGAAGAAACTACTATTTTTTCTTTTTTAATTACAAGGCCAAGCGCTAATGGCTTGAGGTTATAAGCAAAATTGAGCCGGCAACCTTCCACTTATAAGGGAGCTTCCTTGCCGCTATGCTACAAGGGCAGTGGCTTAAAGAAACTATTTCTAAGAAGAAAAATTATTAATATCCACGCAGATAAAGTTAAATATGACATCATGAAATAAATAGAGAGGAAGAGGGAAAACCCTCCGTAGAGATGTGATTAATGAATGGCTGAGCAACATGAAATTCTTTGTGTATAGGTTAAAATACAAGACAAGACATAAAAGACTCGTTAAGTACTTGCTAATTACAGCCTAATGCAGACACTATCTAGTCAACATTTCATCTAACATTTATGCTGTACATTAACTCCAATACCCCTCCAAGCTCGAACACATGTACTTGGTTGCCAATGTTGTTCTGCCACATGTAGTATAGTTTAAGAGAAATGCAATATATCATGGGTTGGAAAATTCTATTTCTGTCTATATGAGAATTACGTGCATGTTGAAAAATGCTATTTCATTAGAAAGAATGAAAATCTTTGAAGGTGAAATTAAGAATGACAAGATAACCAATGTGGTGCTTTTCTTGAATTTTGAACTTTGCACAAGTATTGAAGCTTTGGAAATTGAACTTTTGTGAAATGCAGATTAAGCATGGTGAGACTATTTCCACTGGACATTTACATGTTATTTTTTTATCTTTGTTGATCTTCACTATCTCTCTTATCATTTTTTAGAGCCAGCTCACAACTTAATTAGTTTGACTAAAATGATTTTTGGTTCATTGATTTTATTAATTAATTCTACCACTCTAGGTCATAATGCTAAACCATAATCTTAAACCAGAGAATCTAATAAACATCATTTTCCCTTTGTTTCAAAAATTTGTGTTGTCCTTCTGGTTGGTAAATGCAATGCATTTTTTAATAACCATGGCCGCATATGAATAAAACTAATATTGTTGAAGATGTTGACTATCTTCTTTGTTAGCTTCTTGTATCCTTTATTTATTCTTTTAATTCTTCAAACAGGGCTGCCTTTAAGGGGTTTGCTGATACAATCCGATTGCTTCTATTCCGGGATGCATACCAAGGGAGACAAGATAAAAATGGTATGCCAAGCGGATTTAGGTCACTGTTCATTTGTATAATTTCTCAATCGAATTCTCTTCACAATATAAGCCTCTTTTAGTTTTTAGTTTTTGAAGTTGGCGGTCTATTTGATGCTGAGGTGAGCTATCACCTACCAGGGTAGATGTTATCTGTGGTCAGTATTTTATAGTTTCTACTGGATAAACCTTTCAAGAGTAATGGTATCAAAAGTAGAATCATTTGTCAATTTGCTGGTGTAAAAGTTTCTAATTTCTAATGTCTTCCTTCATGTATGTCTACTGATGCATCTGTTTTATCATTATTCTTGTGTTGGGACTATGATTTTGTATTTCAAGATGCTGGAGAAGCACTTTTGTTGCTAGATTTCTTTTTACATTTGATGAAGACTGTTTTATATGAGTGTGAATGCAATAATTGTTTGTTACATTGGAATGAGCTTTTTAAATTATTATATTTGAAAAGGGTTGTTTGTTCCTAAAGCTATAGTAACTTAAAGTTATATTAGTCATTTAGTTTTAAATGAGATGGTTCTCAATAAAACTAGTATAGGTTGTACGCCTTTGCACTGGGCTGCAACAAGAGGAAATGCAGAGGCATGCACTGTGCTTGTACACTCAGGCACAAAGAAAGAATTGGTGGTGAAGGACAAAGCTGGATTCACTCCTGTACAGCTTGCACATGATAAAGGTCATCGGCATGTCGCCTTTTTCCTTGTACGTAACATTGTGTTGATGATGCTGTTGGTTGTATATTTTCTCACTAAAACATCATTCATGAGACTTGAAAAAATGTGTAACCGTTATTGCATGTAGTTCTGCTGGTGCATACTCTTGAAGGAGATTTCAGAGATACATTTGCTTTATTTATACATATGTATTTACTTAGCATAGAAGGAAATAAAGGTGTCAAAAAAGAAATAAGGAAATTAATGAGGGCCTCATTTGCATGAGCGTCTAGGCAATGATCTTGAGCAGTGTGGCAAAAAAAGGAAATTTCTGAAGTTGAAGTTTGAAAAGCATCCTTATTTGGTTATTATAACTTTCTGATTTATTGATTATAGTTTTGGTTTTTAAAATTCGAGATGATAATTCAGAATTTAACATTATTTTCTTTGTCCTGGGAATAAAATTCAAGGCTTTTCTTATTTATTATGATATTCTTCTTTTCTGGTTGGGGGATTCTGGTGTTGGGTTTGTTGTAGCAACAAGTGTTAAAAAGGGTCTAAGTGAGGATATCCCAGTATCAGATAGTTTTAACATTAAATGCATGCATCTGATATGCATAATTTGTTAGGGCTTTACTTGGTTTAATCAATTAAAGATGTCTGTTGAACTATTGTAACTTGTATCCATTTACGCGACATAGTTTAGCAGTGTTTTGTAATGCTGTAGGTCCTGGAGAATCATCAATATACTGAAAACTGGATTGCACCAGTCATGTCAACCTAAATACTAGTAAACTGGTACTTAGTTTGGTCCAGGATAAGCCCAAAACTGGACTATTAAAAGGTCAAAAATTGGACTATACTCATTAAAAACTGGACAGGTGCTGATCTGGCTGAAAAAGTTTAAACTATGGGCTTTCAAGAAGCCTAAATTCACGAGCCGTACTAAATGAGCTGGCAATTGAAAAGAATACTTAAGTCTTTACCCCCTTTTGGTTTCTATAGCAACTCCACGGCCACAACCAACTTCCATCTTAAGCTAGCTAATGTGGGGCCTTCACATGTGGTGTTTTTTTTTTTTTTTCCACTCTTCCCCCATCACTCACATTGCCACTAAGGCATAATTTGGTTGGCCAACATCAGATTACTATATCTCAAAGCTGATAATGGTCTTATATATTGCAGTCTAAGCAACAGCGAGCTCTGAGCAACCGCTGGAGAGACAAAATTTGTAATGGAAGGATGAAAGATATTGGTTATGCTCCCATCTTATTTTGTATTATAATCTTGGAAATGTTCCTCTTCATCAACTCAGTTGTTGCAGGTCTTTCAAGGACTCCTTACAAATTTCTACATATTTTATATTATATTATAATTATAATATGTCCTTGAATATTTCTATGATTGAATGCTTTACTCTCTCCCCCCAGGTTCTAGTTTTCAAAGATTACTGCTGTTGTTGGTCTTTGGGCTTGGACAGCTCTTTCTCTGGCAGTTGGTAGCTTGATTATGTTCTATAGGTGCAGTAGGTAAAATTTGAATCTCCTTTCTTCATTTTTTGTATCTCTTTGGTTTGAACAGATATTTTACGCTGACTTATGTTCTAAAGGTGCACTGTAAAATTTGACTAGCATGTATTTTGCTTCCTCTTCTTTCCAATTTTGATGTGTTATCTGAACTTTATTATTCAAAGATGAGCCAAAGGAGGATCATGTTTCTTAATCCTTTGCTTTTCTCTTCTTTTTGTGTCGTGGTTGTTGTATGATTTTTTATTATTCTTTATTCTTCTCTTCTTTCTCCCAATTCATTATTATTTTCTCTCTCTGTTTTTTTTTTTTTTTAAAAAAGACTGGTTCTTTCTGTCAGTCAACACATTACTGAAAATTGTTGTGGGTGATGCACACTTCCTTTTTTTCTACTTTGTATTTATCTTTTGTTATTTGGCTATTAATTTTTGGCTTGTATTATTTAGTGATTTTAAGTGTTTACATCTGCCATGTCATCAAATAACAACACACAAAGTACTGAAGAAAACTGTAACTGGTGGTCATGGTCTTTGCCACTTTAGCAAGAACAAAGAATTATGAGTTGCAGCCAATCACTTGATCTTAGAATCTTTTCATTAACTTGTAGGAATTCCCCAAACTTTCTCGTTTTTACCATGTCAAGTTCTAGAACCTTGAGATGAGATAACTGAAGACATCAATGTTTGTGTAATAGGAGGACTGCTTAATGATTATTGGTAAAGCACCTGTTTCATGTGTATTTGTCTTACAAATAAGAAATTCAGACAGTTAGTTTGCTTGCATTATTTTTTCTCGTGACTTTTCCCAGACATTCATATGATTTGCATTGCCAGATGTTACTGTGCAACAGACTTAATGATACTGCCTTCCAATGCTATCTAATTTTTACCATATATTCTTGGTATATGATCTAGTTTTGCCTAATGTGTTTTAATTTAAAGTTGCTAGCATCATAATTTTTTTTAATGTTATTTACACTTTTGTGCAGTAAAGATCCTGGTTATATAAAACGACCAGGAGACTTAGGTGCTCATGATGATACAGAGGTATGCAATCTCACATGTAAACTCTATTGTCTATAAAAAAGGTTGCTTCAAATTCTGATGGTCATTTTTAAGAAATGATTTGCACCAGAGTCAGGTTTTAGTGAGATATAACCTTCAAATTATGAGGGTATTTTACCTGAGCATAAGGTCTATGAGGCAGGAAAGATTTGATTATGTGAACAATAGAATTATATTTCATGCAGTGTAACTTATGTAACATCTAGTTATAAGGTTACTTTGATTTTATTTGAACAATCAGTGGATTTGAGAATGCATGATAATTGATATCTTTTCCTTTCATACAAAATCATTGATGCAACTCTGGGTTTTCAGTTGAAACACATGATGGGAGATTATGAGCATTTATATCTTGATATGAACTGTAGTTTTACTATACTATGAACAAATCTACCGGTTTTATTAACTAGAAAATCTGTTAATATTATATTTGGTGTTTTACAGGATCCTTTATTGAATATTGACCTGAACAGCTCCTCTGTTTGGACAGGAAATTGGTCTCAACTTTGCCCTACCTGCAAGGTTGGTTTTTTGTTTTTTGGGGTGCATTTGTTTGAGTATTTGATGGAAATACTGACGAATGCTAATTTGTAGTTAGATTTTACTTTGTTAAGAACTCAATTTTAATTATTACTCACTCTGTGCTTTTCTGGAATTGCATCATCAGATAATTCGAACTGTCCGATCTAAGCATTGCCCGACTTGTAAGCGTTGTGTGGAACAGTTTGACCACCATTGCCCGTGGATATCTAACTGTGTGGGAAAGGTCAGGAATCATGGTATTTTAGTTTCCCCCCCACAAGAAAAAATAATTCTTGTGGAGAATTTTAAATCGCTCTTTCTTTTTGAATTTTACAAAAGGTGGATGGCAGCTTATAGAATCAGGATTACTGTCCTTGTGGATACTTTTTGACTTGGAAATAAGATGTCCTGTTTAACTTTGTCACTCAATTATAAAGGAAATTTTCCTTTTTCCTTTCCCCTGATTTCCAGCCTGGGTTAATATCATAACAATTGTGTATCTTGCAGAGGAACAAAAGGGATTTCTTTATTTTTGTTTGCATGGCAACTTTGACATCATTCATTAGCGGTGCTGTTACGGTTCAAAGTATTACTTAAAGATCTCATTCTGCCTTGTCCTACATTGAAATCATATTTTATATTATTTTATTTCAACTTGAAACTATCCTTGCTTCCGTCATAGGAATTTGGACATCATCGATAGGATTGTCCGAAGGAGAAACATGGATCCATCATATGCTAGTACAACATCCCGGTGCTATTGCATTTCTGGTGCTGGACACTTTTATTTTCATTCCTGCTGTAACTTTGACGTCAACACAAGCTTCAATGGTGAGTTGTTAAATCATTACCACGTTACTGTCATTATTATTTTATGCATAGCATATGTATTTTGCTAATTAGATTTTATTGCATAATGAAGGTACAATACCCTTGATTCACTATTATGATCTTAGATATTTGAATGAAAAGTTGTTCCGGTGTCAACATGGAGACCTAATCTGACCATTTCAACATATATCCTTTATGTTCACTTCAATTTGATTGTGAATTTATTCAGGCTATAGAATTAAAGAAGCCGATCTAAAAAGCCATCTATCATCTATGAACCTGGACTTAGATAAATAGATATAGAATCAGGAAGGCCAAGTTGAATGAATGCATGCATGACACATTGTTAATCTTCTGATGCCATATAATCTTCTTTTGTTCGTCTCTGATTCTACTTTATGACTACTACTGATATGGTATAACATAATAGATGGATTGAGCTTATTCGTCACAACTCAACAAAATTTAACTTGGCTTCATGATCGTGACGGAGCCATAGTCAAAGCCACTTGCAAGCTTTGAGTTGAACTTCTCTGCCTCTCTCTCTATCCTAGGTTTCAGATGCTTTGAATCCGGTGGCAACTTTGGCCTTCATGTTGTTGAATTTAGGGCTTAACCAAATTTAGGGTGGGCAGAGCTTAAGGTTGAATAGTTAAAACATGACGCACATTTCTACCCTTGCACTTTCCAAAATATTTTGAAAGATTTGAGTTCAAGATAAACTTTCAGAGACTAAGGTGAACCCGTAAAGAATGTGAAGATAAATTACTTTAGAATAGGACTAAACAATGATCTTGATAGATAGATAAGACTCCTAAACAATGATGATCTCACAATATCCCGATCATTTATGACTCCCCCTTGTAATATTTATCCTAGTATATTCAACATTGTCCTGAGCCAATATTCAGATTTCAACTTGCTACAGAAAAAAAATCCCATAAATCCTAAATCTAGTAACTGCACCGTAACCCACAAGTCTGCTTCCTGGGAAGGGCCTTTTCAACATTTTCCTAGCACAATCCCTTATTATCTAACACTAAATCAGCTCCTTCAAGCATTGGATAATGATTTCAAGAAACAAGACTTCCAGCTGGTAGTAAATCCCTTATCCATCGACAGCGCTCTTTGTATCACTTAACCTAGGTTTCTTCACTCCTCTTTAGTTTATTTAAATTTCGACTGTTAAAATATTTTAGCACAACTCACAAGTCGATTTTCCACGAGACCCTTAGTTGCTTTCCTTCGCAGCATCTTCTAACACAATGAACTGGGGAATAATCTAACTTGTTAAATCTTAAAACATTTTGAGAATGTGGTGCTTGATATAAAATAGTCAATACCTTATCATCAATGAGTTATTTGCTGGGAGTGAAGCAGCTTAGCCTCATGCCAGTCAGTTGAGAAACATTTGAAGTCATCTTATATGCATGTACTGCAATTTATGTTTCTTAAACACCTTAAAGATAAGTAGCTAATGGAAGACCTTTTATGCTTTTGTGCAGATAGCTCGTAATATCACCACAAATGAAGTAGCAAACTCTACTCGATATTGGTATCTTCGTGGTCCTGATGGGAAGTTCAGAAATCCATACAATCACGGCTGTTGGAAGAACTGTTCCAATTTCTTTTTTCGGGGCTATGCAGATGACGATGACATTGCTTGGCCTCCATTAGAGCGTATAGCGTCGACGTAGAACAATGTCCCCTGTGGTATCAACACATGCTTGTAAGATCATTCATTCCCATATTTCTAAATTGGTAAACATGTATATTGCTAGTAATTTGCGGATAGGTCGGTCATTCTCTTCAACACTTGTATGTACATTGTAATGCAGGGCACAAATAAACAGTAACATCCCTTTTGAAGGGCCTTACCGGATTGACATGAATTCTATGAATTTTTTTCCCACTTCATTCACCAGTGGCTTTGTCGTAATATTTTGGCGGGGAATCAGATATATGTAGGAAATGCATTCAATCCAAGATAGGCGAACTGAAGTGAGTATTGACTTTTCGCCTGTGTGTGTGTTTGCACACGCTCGCGCGGGCAGCCACTGGTGACAAAAAAACAAAAACAAAAACAAAAACTGAGTTTAACCCATAACTTCTTCATTAACACTCTGATTTTGCCCATTGATCATTTGTCTTTATACTCATTTTCTGTCCTTGTTGGGTTTTTTTCCCCCACCCATTACGTAATTGGTGGGAAGCTATTTTAGGTTCTGAATTGTAATTTTCCGTCAGAGTTTAAATTTGTTGGCCGAAAAAATGGTTTTAATGTAAGTGGTGTTAAAATCTTTTTGTTATTACTTATTAGGAGTACTTTGGTTATTTACTCATGGTTCAGTTATATTTTTGTTTTAAAATGAAAAATGAAAAGTATCATTATTTGCATTTTTTTCACAGTAGATATGATTTTAGGTAATTTAGTTCTATTTTTCTTAAAAAAAATCTTTTATTGATTTATTCTATTATTACAACGGTGGTGTTAAAAGGGGTGCACAAAGTTGGATTTCACCTTAACCTGATGCTTGGCTCTAAGTGCATATTTGGGCATTGGGCTGTTTGAAGGTTCAATTTGGTTTTGGTATGATGTCTGAAATTTATTTTAAAAATAATTTTAAACATGAAAATAAATTTATTAACCAACAAAAAATATAATTATAATTATTTAAAATGGATTTTTTTATAATGATATAATTTAAAGTAATAATTGTTTACATTGTATATGATTAACAATCATTCATAATTTTTACCTGATATAAAGTAAAAAAAAATCAATTTTAAACATTTAAAAAGATTGAAAAAATTAAAATTACAAAAAATATGCATGATGAACAAAAAATAATATAATACATGAAAAATAAGTAAAATAATATTATAAAATAATTAAGATTTAAACAAATTTAAAAAAAATAAAATATATATTATTTTAAGGTCAAATTGGGTTGTGATTGATTTCAACTCGATGCTTAACCCAAAGCCTAGCCTAGATTGCCTGATTGGTTAAAGCAAGACTAGACTGACCAAGTCATCGGGCCACTTATGCAACCTTTGATTATTGACATGTTAGAGTTTACATCCTTGAAAACCAACCACCATGTCAAAGTTTCTTAAAATTTTGAAGAACTAATAGTTTTCATGTAGAAGCTCATTAATTGATAATCGAAATATTTTATTCTTCTCTATTATCATCAATTTGTCACTACATATGTAAAATTTAAATCTTTGTCAATATACATTCACTTTGGACACATGGTTTTTTGTGCTCTTTAAATCCATGTTTATTTAATGCACAGGATTATTTTAGGTTAAGCTTCAGGTTTTTTTTTTTTTTAGCATGAGCACCCAGTATTTTGAACTTATCTCACTCAAACTGTGGAGACTTAATTAGCTCACATTAATTCAAAATGATATATGACAAGCATCATGAGAGTGGGTGTAGTTGGCCACTATGGCCACTACATTTTTAAGACTTGAATTTATGAATTCTGGTTAACTTAGAACAATTTTTGCCAGTTAATCCAAAGACCCGTGGTTAGATTAGGCTTCAAATTCAATCTTTGAATGTTCTTTCTCATCTAAATATAAGGTATAGATAATTAAGCTTGCACGTGTCAACAAAAAATCAAAATTAGTTAAATTACGTAATGTAAAACATAATTTTTATTATGCATTAAATTGAACACATTTACTTATATATTTTACGAAAGTTAAGAAATGACGCACGCGGATACTCTCTTCGTCTCCCATTATAAAAATCAATTTTAAGGGGTTGGTGAGCTTAATTATAAAACCTTTTCCAGGGTTTTAGGACTAGCGAACATATGTTTCCATTGATGCTGACGGGTATATATCGTGCAAGTAACAAGTGACACGTCATAAACAAATCGAGAACCTCCACCGTGAAGGCCACCCTGGCTCCAACTTTTCAGGAATGAGTAAGAGTTCAAATTTTTACGGAGAGCGTTCCGACTTTCTAGGATGATACCAATGTAGTATGTTCATATGTCGATTCATGTTTGGTGAAGGATGGTTAGGAATTCTATAGGAGGCTGGCTCAGAATACAAGGTGCTCAATGTATAACCCAAAAAAAAAAAAAGGTCAGGAATTGATGAGGAACAATAATTAGTTTATAATCAATTTATAATCTACTATTTTTTTTTCATTATTTACAGATATCATTCCATTAAAGACAATTTTATTTAAAACATGACTAGACATTAAATGTGAGGATCTCTTTTAAAAGATATTCATATATTAGTTTGTCATATTATGAGGGATTGACCTATTCTTTTAGATTTAACTCCTATTAGCATATAATTTATTATATTAAATCATGCTCCAATTAATTATTAAATTTAATAAATTAAAATATTTTCTTTTATTTTTGGACTAATCCTATTCCTTTTTAGTTTTTATACAAATCAACTTAATTAACTTACATTAGATCATTAAATTAAGGAAAAACAAATTTATTTCTATAATTTTATTAATTTTTAATATTTCTATAATTTAAGGTAATTTGAATTTGTAGAAGGTAAAAAAAAAAAAAGAGATGATTACTTTTTGAAGAAGACTTCTGGTGACAGCACTTGTCAAGGTTGAAAAGTAGTTTCCCATCCTTATAGGTTAAACTTTTTACCTTATGCATCAAATACCCCAATTTAATATCATTTGTGTTACATTATCATTCTTTCAAGCATATTTAAAAATATAAGGATTAATTTTATAAAAAAAACTATAAGGACTTAAAATATTAAAAAAAGTATAGAACCAACAACATGACTTGATAAAATTATAAGAATTAATAGTTATATTGCTTTCGTAAATTAAATTAGAACTCCTAATTAATTTTTTATACGTTAGCCTTTTCAGTTCTCCAAGTTTTGTTATTGTTCTATAGTATATTTTCTGATGGAAAAAAAAAAAGAAAAATCAAACCCACACCCAGAAAGCCCAAAAATTAAAAAAAAATAAATACATACTAAATAATTTATAAACACACTCATGTCTTGTTGGAAGCAAGAGGAAAGATATCATCAATTAATTTTGGTTCAGGTTTTCAAGAAACTTGAGAGTAATCTCAATACGTTACTTCAACTAAAAAGGCACACTTAAACATTACTTTTAAAATCAATTAATCCCCACTGAGAATAGTATCCAATAAAACGATACCTGTAGCAATAAAAATTACTTTAAATACTTATGTTTTTTTTTTTGGGGGATAACCTATAGTAGGTGACATGTTAAGGAAACTAGTTCATTTAAATTAATTTTTAATTATTAAATTTTAAAAATTTGCAAATTTAATTTTTAATTTTATAATTTTATTGTGATGAATTTATAACTTATGTTTTAAATTTTAATAAAAAATAAATTTATTTATTCTTCAATTATGTTGAATTTAAAAAATAAAATGTAAATTTATCACAATAAAATTTTAAAAGTAATAATTGGACTTGCAAATTCTAGAGTTTAACACTTTACGCTTAATTTGGATTAGTTGATGCCTTGAACTTATATGTCATTCTGCTCAAAAAAGAATTATCACCAAGTGTTAATCAAATCAGTCAATCAAACGTATATTTTTATTTCATGTGCGGACCCTTTAATACCACCGAACCGCAAGTTATGGTGAACACATGCCACTTGGGAATTGGCTAAAGACTTTAGGGTCAAAGGAAGTGTAATATTCACCTAAAAAAAAGGGAAATGGTGAAGATTGAGGCTTAATCATTCACATTATTGGAAAATGACAACCAACCGACACTAACAGTCTCACATTATCTCATTGACTTGAATGAATGAATGAATGGTGATGATGGTTGGCTATTCTGCTCTTATTGGCGGGTTAGTCATGGGATTTGATTTTATTCGATCTTCTTAGACCAAGAAAATGGGAGACTGTTGGAAGATGGGAGGAAGCTCATAAAGTGATTGAACCCAAGGGTAAAATGGAAAATTAACAATTTTTAATTCTCCTATATATTTGTATGTCAGGAGGGTTTTTTTAGGAAAAATTAATCTTTAGTCCTTCAACTTTTAACCCACTCTTAACTTAATCCCTTAATTATAACTCGCCGTGACTCAGTTTTTTAATTATGATTCGTTGTGACTTTTTCTCTTAACTTTTGACTTACTTATAACTTAATATTTATTTTTCAATTTTTTTTTAAATATCCTTATCAAATAAGAGGGATAAAAGAAATGTTCCAATCTTATTCTAAAATACCCTCCTTTTGCTTTTTAATGTGGGATCTAAGTTGAGGGACTGACTTAAGTTGAAAAACTAAATTATAAACGAATTAAAAATTGAGAGACTGAGTTGCAATAAATCATAGTTGAGGGATTGAATTATAAATGAGTTAAAAGTTGAAGAAGTAAAAAAATAATTTTACTTTTTTTTTTAATATTTACTTACATCAAACTTTACCCTCACAACTTAAGTTTGTCTCATGTGATTTGGTGATATAATTCAACACACACTCTTTATTTCAGAATAATAACAACTTTTTGGTTGTCTTGAAAATAAATACCACTTCAAAATTTTAGTGAAACATTAATTGTTTTTATATCATTTCACCTTCATTGATAAAAATTATGGTGGGTGGGAAATGAGAATGAGCCCAAGGGTAAAATAGGAAAATAAACAAAGTAACTTTTCTTTGTTACGTGGTTTAAACATCTAATCTCCAGTCCTACAACTTCGACCTGTATCTCATATCATCATTAGGGCATGAACTAACATCATTTGGCATACATAGTTACTGAAGTGACATCTGGTCTCAAAATAATTACTAACGTCATTTGGCATAAATAATTACTAACATCATAATTACATAAATAATTCAATATATCTTTGTTTTAAAATAATTATTACCACCTCTGGCCTCAAATATAAAACCTTTGTTAGGGTGTTTTAATAGTCCAACTCTAAAATGACAGTCACTCTTTGGGTCATTCAATAATTTTTTCCTGACAGGCCCAAGATCAACCATTAATTAAGAATAAATATGAAAAAAAATTATGTTTTGCCACAAATTTAATGAGCTTAACTAAATTTAACCAATGTTATTGGTATGTACAGAGGCAGGTATTGGTGCATTATATTTGAGATTGGAAGTAGTTTTGTATAACCTTTTGTTTTTCTTTTAAAATAATTGACGTCCCTTCCTTGAAAGGAAATTCAATCTGCCAATAAAAACCACATTAATAGGCCATTTCTTTCAAAAATAAATTTATCTAACAACAACAGTGCAAAATTCCCTCAGGGCTGGTGGCATGGTGAGGGGCCACATGCTGGATTGATGGAGCCTTCGTTTGCAAAAAAGCTTTATGATCAGAATTTCAATGGCAGGTTGGTGGGTTATTAGAAAAACTCCTTAAAAGTCCATATAACAACAAAAAAGTGTGGACATTAATTTGTCAGCTTGAAGCCACCCTCCTAAATATAACAAGGGCTCTATATCCTTCCTCTTCATTAAAAAATTAGTCATCTAAGGCTGTCTCCTCCTGTTCACATAAAATTTCCTCATACATAATATTGAAAATCAAGTGAATCCGGCCATTTGAAAAAGCGTTATGCATTGGTTCAATGAAATGCTTTATTCATAAGCCTGATTTAACCATGATACTATTGTGTTTTTATCATCAGCGCTTGAATTAATATTTTAACTAATTCAACAACTAGTGTTCTTTTCAGTACTTTTCCTAAGCTGTTATAAATTGGGACACACACTGACACGTTTCAGTGGGATACGACAAAGGGTTTCATTTCTTGAATCCTGAGCTCCCATTCCTGTTAATGAGTATGCTTCTCCTCCTCCTCCTCTACCTCAAAGTTTATTTGTCACTTTCAAGAACTGAGATCTATGAGTATATTAGTACGAGTGAGTGAGATATATTGATGTGGAATTTGTAGATTCGTGTGTGGTGGGCCTTTGTCTGCTTTGTGTTTGGCTTAATACTTGTTTGAACTTTGAAAGATATTTATATCAGATGATGAATTTTCAGTACAAAACTGACATGTTAAGGTTGTCCCTCTTACAGGAAAAGGATCTTTTTGGTTGAATAAGGAGTTTTCTTGAGGAGATTTCACCTATGACAATGTTACCTGAACTGGTAAGCCATGTGTGTGTCTTATAGCTCTTCTGTTCTGTTCTCTGAGAATAAGCTTTTGGTTACATAATCTGAATGTTGATTTGGAATCACATGGTCATATGAATCTGGTAATTGGTAGGAAAACAAACGGCAAAACAAAGATTAGTTAATGTAAATTTTGAAAGTTTTGCTGAGAAATTAGTGTTTGATTTTGAAGCAGGGAATAGTGGAGGATCCTGCCTTTCTTCATCAATGGCAATTGAACTCTCTGGAAGATCCAAGCTTATTTGAAGAGACCTTACAACAACATTCATTCTCTAACCTAAACCCAACAATGTTCAATCCCAAAACGTCCATGGAAACTACACTTTGTAGCATTGAAAGGCCCCAGAAACAGTTCAAACCCAACAATAATTGGAGCCCCAACACAAGTGATCAGAACCAGACGTTAGACACAGACTATGATTCTTGTTCCAATCTTCTTTCCTTTGTCAATTCAAGTTACATAAGCCAATTCGGGACATTGATGAAGCCTAAGGACCAGCAGACACCTTGTCCTGAAATCAACAGTACAATCCCCTCAGACATGTTGGTCTCTTATGGATCCTTGGGAAATCAGAACCTTGTCTTCAATGCAGGACAAGATCCCAGAAAAATTGGAACAAGTCCTAAACTTTCTCAACCTCAAGACCACATAATCGCTGAGCGAAAGCGACGAGAAAAGCTCAGCCAACGGTTCATAGCTCTATCTGCTCTTGTACCTGGCCTCAAAAAGGTACAAGAAGTTCATGTTACGTTATACCTTTAAGCTTTCCAGATTCTGATTTGACTGCCCTTCGCATTTCTTGTCCACCATATTTAAGATTCATCAGATTAATTAAATTAAATACTCTATATAATGTGTAGCAAAAGTTTGCAGCCTAATGTCAAAGAAACACATCTGAAGAGAGATATAAAGTTATTGTCAGTTATATCTAGCTGTAAAATACTGATCTCTTCGTTCTGAGAACAATACAGAAATGTTATCAGAACTCAAGCTCATAATGCAAACCTTTGATCTTAGTAAATCATGTTAGAATGTCCAAATGTGGGAAGGATCCATAAACTTGAAACCTTAAGGTTTTAAGTTGAGATGTATCGTTCTTCCATTATTCTTGCCTATTTGTTCACTCTCCCTGATTTTGGCCGATCACCCCATTCCTAACAAATTACTTGTTACTAACAGACAGACAAGGCTTCTGTTCTTGGAGATGCTATAAAGTATTTGAAGCAATTGCAAGAGAAGGTTAGGCTCCTTGAAGAGGAACAGAGTAGAAAGAGCACTGTGGAATCTGTGGTGGTTGTGAAGAAAACTCAAATATTAGCCAATGAAAGCCATTGTTCTTCAGACTCTGGTGATCACAGTGAGGAGCCATTACCAGAAATTGAAGCCAGAATTTGTGAAAGAAACGTCCTCATAAGAGTTCACTGTGAGAAAAGAACACAAGTGATAGAAAAAACAGTCAGTGAGATAGAGAAACTCCATCTGATAGTCACAAGTACCAGTGTCATGACATTTGGCAGTTCTGCTCTTGATATAACCATAATCGCTCAGGTGATGATATAAATAAATAAAGTAATTGATTCAAGTTCCATCCAATGGTTCTGATTATGCATTTAGAATATGTAAAAAATGTTTCATCTTGATTATACACTTAATTTTTTTCTGCAATATGCAGATGGATAAGGACTTTTGCATGACAGTGAAGGAGCTTCTGAGAAGCCTACGCTCAGCTTTTGAATCTTTCATGTGAAGAAGTTGCATGTCCAGCTCATACTGAAAGCTTCAGAACAAGAAAAGTTATATACAGACAATATATATACATGTGTGTGTAATCTATATATAGAAGTTCAACTCTGTTGTTTACAAGGCTTGTTGTGTCGGGCATCTTAGACCATCAACTCCATGAATGTCTGCTGTGAAGTTCATTTTGCAGGTGGGTTTTTTCTTAGCATGAAAGTGTTATTTATTTTTTTTTTTGCATGGTTAACTTGTTGGCCATGTTAGATAACTCATACCCACCTGTTTCAAGAGTGATCATACAGCTTTTTAGGGTTTTGTTTGTTTTTTGGTGAGGAGGTTGAAAAGTTCAACCATACCTTTTTTCTGTCACTTCTCTTGTGAGAAAAGGGACAATGGTTTTTTTTTTTGGTGTGTTGACAAACAGGCCTTTGCTTAAGAAAGTTGTTATTCTGGCAAGTGTTCCCCCCCCCCCCCTCTCTCTCTCTCGTAACAGTTTGGTTGACAGTATGATGAAATAATTGTTTGGATATATTTTTTCCGGTTCTTGTAGTTATTCTTCATGACAGCTATTGATAAAACATTCAATATTAACAATTATTATGCAAGAAACAAATACTGTTTGTGTTAGCACCTCCAGTCTAAAATATAAACAGCAAATACCTACATGCATATTATCACGCAGAATATTGATAAGTTTATGAGACTGTGCAATGATACACATAAAATAATCTATCTATCTATTTATATTGTAAAATGTGCCAATATTATTGTAGAACAACGGTTCTTTGAACAGTAAATGGCAGGACCCATTTTCTCTTTTTTTAATTTTTCTACTGGTAAAGTGGCAGGGCTCGAACTTTCAAATTTTGTACATGTAAAACCGTGGGCCCATTTTTTAAAACAAATCTACCCTCTATTGTAGTGTCCAACCTTTTTTATTTTTATTTTTCACGACCATTTTTTATAGTAATTTTTTAATTATTATGTAGCAAATAAAAATTAAAAAATAGAAATATTTTGTAATAAAAAAGGTAAATATGGCACTCATAGGAAAAAATAGTGGTGAATGTGGAATAAATACTAAAAAAAATATTTTTTTAAATCACAATATATAATATCTTTTAAAAGTATTACTTGATTTAAAATATAGGATATTGATAATTTTTATAATTATTTTTCAGCTTACTTCATTTATTGCAATTTTTGAAAACAAATTATGCATTAAAATTTTAATTGTCATTATTAAGGCACTTATCTAGAGTATTTGATAAGGATAAGATTGGAAATATGTAAAAAAATTTAAATGATTAATGTTTCAACCAATTTTTTTAGAATCATAAAGTAATTATTAGTGCCACGTATTATGGTCCAGACTCTAGAGGGAGCAATTTATAAGATATTTTTCAAAATTATGTATGTTAATAAATTGTATTAAATATACTTTACAATCTTATTGTTTAAAAAAATATAAGTTTTCAAAAATAACCTTAATTTAATATAAATTTACTTGTGAAACATAAATAGAGAATGAAATAAAATAAAAAATGAAACCTTAATTAAGTACAAAATCCTTATTTTAATGTCACCCGAACCCGAGCCTATTTTTATATTGTACTTTTTTTTATTAAAAAATGTAAGGTATTTTTAATCAAATCTCGCCTTCTAATGAAGTAGTTATTTTTTTTAAAACTAATATTATCTTTTCATATATATCTTTATTTAATATAATGTTTCACTCTAAAACATAAAGTGATTTATTATTAGGGATACTTTTTAGAAGAAAGACAATAATTATACTTTAAAATACTAAAAATATCTTATATTTTTTTAACATTTAACCTCTAAATGCCTTATACTTTATAATGGAGGCAGTAATTGAGAGTTAATATCCCATGCATCGCACGGACACAAAAATCTAGTTATATGGTCTAAAAAACATGTTCTTGAGGCTCTAGAGATGTATGGATCACATGCAAGGATAAAAGTATGTACCACATATTGTTATGTATCCATACGATTCCATGTTGCCATTTTCTATAAAAAAAGGCAGTTTTTTATTGTATTCGTCTTTGTCATGACCAGTCATAAAAGCATAGGTCAAAGTGTAAGATCACCCTTAATAATCCATCATTAACGCTAAAACCAAGGCAATCATTAGGCTAATTTAATTAGATTATCAGTTTGTAATTCTAGTATAAATAAGATCTCAAGTTTTCAACTTAAAGAATCACTTAAATATTATTTTGTAAACTATAATCAGAGTAAAATATAAAATATGGAAGCCCAAGAAACCAAAAAAATAAAATAAAAGTATGTGCATTTTATGGAAAACAGCAATTCAACACAAATTAGTTAGCATACTCCTTATTGTGTCATGCACCATAGTTTAGTCCATTGCACAGATTGACAGCTTCTGCTGCTATCATTTGATAGGAGTATGAGAAAGTTTTTGATGCACTTTATTTCTCCATTCGACATTTGATTAAGACAATTTAGATATTTATAGAAAGCTCTTTACAAGAACTAACTAATGATATGAGTTTTACTCCCAAACATATTTCATCCACTTTTCACAAGACATGAGTGTCTAAAACCCTACTACATGTGCTAAAACCATATTTAACACCTAATTGTGCTCAATAGACTCAAGACTATCTGTGCAATACATCATATCTACAAAATAACAGCAACCACTCATTTTAGTCCTCAACCCCTCAATATCAAAATAACGGGAGAGGTCAGTCATTTGTATTAAATCAGTAATCTTACAAATTAACAATATATAAATCATCCCTATATTTACATTATTTGGCCCTTATCAGAAATAATAAAAATTACAGACACAATTTTTAGGGCCTAAATTCCAAAAATCAATTATGACTATCATTTTAATGTAAGTATATGCAGAATGCTCTTTGCTTGGTAATATTCTAACAATTACAGAAAGTAAAAGAGTTTGGAAGGCTTTAAAGTAGGAATACTAAAATCCCTAAACCTTTGGAGCCTTTTTCCTCTTTGCAGCTGAACTAGAACTTGTAAAATGTTAAAAAAAGAGGGGTAAATATAATTACTCAATAACTAAGGTACATCTATCGCATGCAATTTCTTATTAATTGACAATAAATTATGTGCAACATTCTTAAACACAAGTATTTGGCATATTGCAAGAAAATTTACATTTTATCATAATAACATAGGAATTCAAATCATCTCGTTCACAATGTTATTCACCATTACACATTGTCACACAATGACAACCACATGTGAATGATATCAATTGTTATCTCAACTTATCCCAAACTTAATAACAATGTAACATATTAAATTTACATGCATGATCTAGCCATTCTTATATTCTTTTTATGCTTTTCAACTAAAACCATAAGCTATTATTACTCAATTAGAGTTTCATTTGTGTAAATGAACAACTCAAGCTTATTAATTGTGAGAAGTGACCCGACTGACGATCATTGCACTTACTTTCGGACCATAAATTCTCCATTCTTGAATCACTAGGGTGTTGTAAATTATAAGCTAATGTCCTTAACAAACCGGTGGAGTTAGCTTGATTTGAGTCCCTCAACAAACAGTGGTATTATCCCTCAATAAAAGTGGCACAGTCCTTCAAGAAATAGTAGAATAAGGCTTACCCTTCAATTTCAATGATTGGTAGCCATTGCCATGTGAATTTTAACTACTTCTTTCCTTAGGTGAACTCCTACCATAAAGATCATGCTATATGCCGTGCTCACTTATTGCACATAATCACAACTCAATGTCAACATATTGGTTCACAACAATAATTTTTACATGTGAGTATCATTAATATTTTCACAAATCTTTTTCACTTACATTCTTAATCTCATAAGATATTCTCAAATCCTCCATTGAATACACACTTATATCATACATATACTAATATAGCCACATTATCGCATCAACTTGACAAATAATCATGTTTCAACACATAATTTTGATATATGCATGTTTTTAAGTAACATTATGTAATTATTGCCAAATTGGGAAAATTAACACTTCACATATATTGCACATGTCTATTCATAAAATCTAATCTTCAAAATCTATTATTACATTTTCACAAACATAAATTAACTAACAAACAATTACAAAGAAATGATTTTTTCTAGTTACCTTAAACCTTTAAGAGGTCAAAGATTTATCTTTCAAGTTAATGGTTCTAACCTTGCTCTTAAGTTTGAACAAGTGCACATACGATTAATTTACAATTTAATCATATCCAAAATCATTATTATTACCATTTCACACAATTTACACTCTTTATTTCAACACTTGAAATAACATCTAAACTTATTCATTGAGTTTATCAATCTCAATTGACCCTAACTAACATTATTAAACTCCTGGCTCATCATTAATAGCATTCAACCAACTCCAACAACCTCATTATTATGAAAATTGGCCATAAATGCTTCCCAACCACCAAAACATGTAAACCCATGATCCTTAGATTTAAATACCTTAACAACTCCTATTAGTTCCAGTTGAATTAATAAATTCAGACCTATAACTTATATGGACTAAAAATCATCTTCCATTAATAAACTCTAGCTTAAAACCAGAAAATGGATTGGGAAGGAGAAGAAAAGGTTAGGAAAGTTATACTTGGAGTTTAATAGCTTAAAAACACTTCCAATCCTTTGAAAATGGAAGCCCTAACAGATTTCCAATCCTCTTCCTCATTTCCACCTTCTTTATGTTCTAATTTTTCATCTGATGCATGCTCCTCTTATTAGAATTTTGAGCCGTGCACTCCACATAATGCTTGCACTGCAACACATGGCACAATTTAAGCCATGTACTGCAGCGTGTGGGCACAGAGTGCCACAGCCATGCCTAATGCAAACA